GGGTGCTGGTACGTCGCGAGGAAGTTTAAAACCACTGGACCGAACAGATTTAAGGTCAGTTTGAGCCAGGTACGATTAAAGCAGCCCCAAGTTATTTACTTAAGAATTGTAGCTAGGGAAACAAGAAGATGGATAGAAATAAAATACTCCCAGGCACTCTGAGGCCTCCTCCAGGCACGGACTGTGGGCTCCAGCCAACCCGGGCACCAACTGTTGAAACCCCCACTGAGCCTCGCTGGGTCCTCCCTCCGGTACAGCTGCCCCTAATAGTGGCCTAGTTTTATTAATAATAACAGATTAATTTATAAAAAGTGTTCTAATGCATATTGGGTGTGATCTATGTCTCCCCCTTGACTCCTTCCCACTTTAGAGAAAAGGCAATTTACAGCACTTCTTGCTGAAGAATGTTGATGGGTGGATGCACAGATGACAAATGGATTTTTCTCTCTTTTCCTCACCACCGAACCCTCTGTACATGCAAGATGACTCTCTAAGTGTGGCTGGTCTGGGATAATAATGCTGTGCACGATGCTTAAGGAGAATGTTAACATAGAATCGCAGGCTAAGGGATAACCTAAACATCTAAAAGGCTCAGGAAAAAGCTACTAGAACAGTGAGGGGCTATGGGAAGCCCCAGTGACACTACAGAAAACAGCCTGGCTTTTAGGCACGTTCTCAGAGAAGGAGAGATGTCTTACTCCAGCCCATAGGCAATGAGTGCTATTCATTACCACCTTTAATTACCAAAAGTGCTGTAAAAGCAGAAGGGGCTAGAGATGATGCATAGCAGAATATAGACTATATGTAAAGTTTAAACAAACAGCAACCCCCTCTTAAAATAGAAACACGTTAGTCCTAAGTATTAGATGAATGTAGCTTGTACCCTCATGGCCTCATCAGTCTTTTTGGTTTCTTTGGCAGGGTAGCCCACTGAAGGGGAACATCTTGAAGAGAAGCAGCTCGACGTCATGATGCAGTTGTTCACTTTGGTCATCACCTCCAAGTATAGGAGGAATAATCTAGGAGATGTATCAAAAAGGTTATAGCTTTGAAACAGAGGCAGACAAATTAAGTGCTATCATTCTTCCATGTAGTTAAAGACTGAGAGAATTGTTGGTTAAGCATGTGTATTCAAGGGTTTGAGAAAGGATATTGAACAGTACAATAATACTGAACCAGAATAAGGTTTCATGGAAGATGGCATAGGTGTGTATAAGGGGATGTGCCTGCCTGTCTAATAACCTAGCCCTAATTGCTGTATGTAATGGTTCCAAGCCGTTTGCCCTGTAATGTATGATGCAAAGTGCTGTAATAAGACCTTTCCCTTATGGAAAAGGAAAAAAAAAAAAAAAAAGAACATATGTTAATTTAAGTGTTTCATTGAAGGTAAAATGCAGGTTTGTTTGTTATAGAGATGGAATCAAGGATAGCAAATGCTGACAAAGAGAAAAGATGGGCAAGCAGTTTTTTGTGATTAATACCTAATGGACCGGATGAAACAAGGAAGCAAAAATGAAGTTTAGTGGACCCTTAATATCCCCAGAAACTGCTACAGAAGGAGGTGTTCTGGTGAGGGTAACTAAGGTAACTGTTGATAACAAACGCCTATTATTTCTGTCTCCCAGGAGCCGCACTGAGGACTAGGTAACCCATTCTTACCCTTTGGATATTGTTAACTGTATCTGCCTTAGTTTTGCTTTAGCTGTTTCTGTTTGGTGGTGTTAACTTATATGCGTATACAGAACTGCATTTGCCCAGGTTAGGGAACCATAATTAAAGCTTTGAGGGGGGAAAAAAAGCTCTAAAATGAGAATCTCCCAGTGACCTTAGTGGTTTGATTCATTTGCAGGATAATGTTCCAAGGGCCAGCAACTTGAAGAGGAGCAATTCAACCCGTTTTCTTAATTTCGGTGACACTGTTTTAAGGAAGCATGTAAGTACAGAAGGGGTTTGAGAGGGTTTTCAAACAAGACAGGTGTAGAAAAGTTCGAGCCCAGGTTTCTGAGGAGCAGTCTCATGCATGTACAACACCAAAAATTATTTAATTAAATGACAGTACAGCAGAGTAACAGCTCAAGCTGGGTGCCTCCGGAGAGGGACCCAGAACAAAAGAATTCTGAAGTAATTATACTTTTTACAGTCTTATTTCTCCTGCCTGCCAGTGAAAGTCTCTTCTGATCTTCTTTACTGAGTCGGTGGCTTCTGATTGGTTCACATCTACATCCTGGGATGGGAAGCCTATAATCAGCAACTGTAACATGATTCTGGTGCGTGTATTCCTGTTCTGCTGCCCTTCTAAATGAAGGGGAAACTTCTTAAGCTGTGGGGAGAACTTGCACGCTCGTGTATACTTTGCTGTTTCTTGCTTAAAGCTGAGGGTTTGGAGTTTTTCACTTAAGGTTTATTGCTTAGTTTGTTGTTGAGGGCCTGTCACTCAGGGGTTTAAATAAACCATAGTTTATTGTGGCACTCAGTCTTTCAGTCAGGGTTTACAGTTTGCTGACTTAGCGATCAGGGCGCAGGATTTAAAATCCAAGCTCATCCATAAATTTTAAAGTCTCGGCAACCATTTGGGTTCCAAAATTTTCAGTTTGTCACTTAGGGTTCAGGGCTTATGCCTTACTGATAAATGACAAGGGCTAAATCCTTAGATAATATAAACCGAAAGCCCTGAAGTCTGAGCAGCAGGCTGCAAACCCTTCTTTGGGGTTTGTAACCTTCCCCTGTACCCAGCGTTCAGCTTTGTGCACTGACCTGAGGTCTGGATTTGATACGGCACAGGCCCATCACACTGAGAGCGGCGATGTGACAGGTGAGCCGAGAGCTGTGAAAGTGTCTTGCGGGGGGTAGGGCAGAAGTGCAGACAAGCGAGATCAGAGATCAAAGATTCTCTCACCTGTCAGAGCTGAATCCTATTCCTGAAGGAAAAAGCAGAGGGGGTGGGCTGTCGGCTGCTCAGACACCTGCCACGTCAAGGGCAGCAGCAGGAGCTGACCCTTCCCTGACGGACCGATGAACACTGGTGCGGAGATGACTCTTCAGGTGTCACAGGGTAAGGGGAAGCATGCTGGCACCGAGCTCCATGGCAGACTGTCTCCCAGGTGTTGCTTCTGTGCAGTAAAACAATAAACAGTTTCTTTATTCTTTGTGCTCACATCTGCGTTTTCTGCTGTTGCTTTGCCTGAAGATGATGCCCAGGGGAGGAGGTGACACATTGTGTCTGGGGTTGGGAGCTGGTCTCCAAGTCCCTGCAGTTCCCAGGGAACCCAGTGATGTTTACAGGGCTCGGGGTAACTTCCCTTGCATTGCCTGGACCCTCAGAGCTGTTGGTGGAGTTTCCCATTATCCTGGGGGCAGCCAGGGCCCCCCCTGGACCGTCTGAGATTCCCAGAGTGATCTCAGATCTGCTTTCAGCACTCTGCAAATGTCCCTTGTGTGTCGGGCTGGGGCCTGTGTGCCTGGGGCTGGGAGATGGAGTTTCTGTGAGGACAGGAGGCGCCTGCAGGCACCTTGCCGTCAGCCACATTGAGCCCTGTGGCATGCCTTATGGCCCTTTCGGTGTGCACCAAGGCTGTTTATTTTGGTTTGCCCAGAGCCCTGCGTTTGCCCTCTGATGCCCTCGGGACCCCTCAATTTACGTTTTAGGTTGCTCCTAAGACTTCAGTGTGCCCTGGGACCCAATGTTTGTTTTCCAGCACACTACGGAGTTCTCTGTTTAGCTTTCTCCCCTGTACTGGAGTTTTCTGGGTGATTTTTGGTGTGCCCTGAGGTCTTCCCTTTGCTTTTTAGTGCCCCCAGAATCACTCTGTTTGCTCTATCACCACCTGGTAACTTTTTTTTGTTACTTTTGTTGTACTCAGAGCTCTCGATTTGTTCTCTTGTCCCCTGAATACTCCCTTTTCCTCGCTGTACGCCCTGGGGCTCTCCCTTCAGCTTCTAGCAAGCACCTCCGAGGAGCTGGGGTGCCTCTGCCCCCTGGCAGCCTCAGCTGTCCCTGATGGGGCTGAGAGCAATTTCCTGCCCCTGGTTCCTGATGGGCTGCAGCTGTGAGCCCCAGGGCTAGAACAAGCCTCAGGTGGGGCAGGGGGCACTGA